CAAATGTGAAATTAGCCTCACGATTTTGTATCTATTTTTTTGGTTATTTGTTTTATTAATTACATTTATTTATTTTTGTTAGTTTTCGCTTTTTATATTTAAGTTAATTGTATTATGTTCCCCATAAATTTTCTTTCTGGATCCGCCACTGATCATACATGCGAGTTGGCTAGTTGCATAGCCAATGATGGAACATAAATTTGCTAATATTGAAATTACTGTCTTTAGTTAGTATTTATCTCAGCCTTTCGCTACTTTTCTACAGCTCAACCAGTAACTGAGTCGACTAATCTTGTTTATCACTTCAATATAACAATCATTCATAGTGCATTTGGAATTTACTTTGATAAATTTTCCCTTTTTTACTCGGAGACGTTTTAGATAAACGTAAGTATCAATTATGATCCGACTTTGGAAATTTGAAGAAAAGAAAGATGTGACAAAACTTAAAAAATCGAGTTCTTTTGGGCCAGGTGTACATGGTCACGTCTGGGAACAACTATTCTGTTGTTTGTTTGTGTATGTGATAACTTATAAAGAGATTCAGGATCTTTTGATAGTTATGCAGATTTATAATTTCACCCTAATCCCAAATTGTATCTGGCCATATTTTGGGTCATTAGGCCTGAAATGAGAGTCATTTAGTATATTTTAAATTGAAATTATTAGGCTTACAAACCTTTAGCTCTAAATATAGCCTTAGAAACCCAACATAGGCCCAATATTGTCTTTCTCTTCTTCCCTTTTGGCTCTTTCAAGCCTTTAGCATTGAACAAGAAAAATAAACGCTCTAACTATATTCGATTTCACATATATATCGTCGATATTTCAAATAGTTCGAAGATGATAAACTTAAAACCACTCAAACGAATACGAAAATCAACATCATTTAAATGCTTATAACCATGAAATAGAAATTAAAAACATAACTAACATGCAAGCTGCAAATATTACACAAACTTAGTTTATACACATGATTCGAAACTTTAACTTAATTTAATTTTCCTTTGTAACTACTCGTAACACTTAACTGGTCTGAATTAGCCCTGAAGTGAGCTCCGCCGTAACCGCCGCCGCATTTGGCCACCATCCTCACACTTTCCACCAAAGCTTCCGTTTCCAAATCCGCCGCAAGAATCTCCGCCAGCTGCTCCGGACTTATCACAAGCCTCACCTTCCACACTCCGCAACCGCTTCTACCGCCATTTGCAACCGCAGTGACCGGCGTTTTCCCGAAAGACATTCTATAAGGCGTTGCTAATTGGTCCGAGGAATGAGCGGTTGCGGTTGCCGCGGCGGAGGAGGAAGAGCGAGGAAGGAGGTAGTAAATGTTACCGGGAAAGAGCTCTTCGCCGTGGAGAAGCGGCGGAGATGAGTGGCGGGGGCTTAAACTGTCGTGGATAACGTGGCCGGGAAATTCGTTGGTGATGAATTCGGCGAAAATTGGAGGATGAAGTTCCATAACGCCACCGTTTGGAGTCACTACTTTTATTAATAAATCATCTTTATCGTATAGTTTACATGCACCACCATTTCCTTTGAATACACAATTACCCATTTTTTCACAAGAACTAAAATAATAACACGATAATTTTATGTATATATATAAGTCATGGAATCTGAAGAAAACCAAAATGGAGAAGGCAGGGTTTAAGATAAGGGTTTTCTTTGATGAGATGAAGTTGAAAAAAACTTTACGACGTCAAAGAAAATAATTGTCGATGGTCCACCACTTTTTCTTGGTAAAAAAGGAAGCGAAGATCCTGTGGTTTACGATTTTGAAATCATCATTATCAATTCATCATATTATGATTTTGTTTTTCTAAGATCAAGATTTTTTTTGTTTGTTTTAGGCTAATTGGTAATATAGTCTATTTATCGAATGTTTGTCAATACTTTAACTTTTTTTTTTCGTTTTTCTGATTTTACTTGATGGTAATATTGTAGAATAATTGGAAAAATAAGTAGAGAATGCTCTAAGC